TTGTAATTATTTTTAATTTGGGCCCTTATCCGTAATTATTTTCACTTTTCAGGCCCTTATTTGTAAATTCCCCTTAAATTTTTGGTTTTCATTTGGCGATATTCAAATGATTGTGGTTTTTCAAAAGCTTGAATAGACTATCATTAATAAATACTTAATGTAAATAAAAACGAATTAGATCAAAGGCATGGAGTCGATTAATAAAAATTATGTTTATTGACTAAAACAAAACGAATAAAGCAAGAGATGTGCTGTAATGATCGATTCATAAATTGTGGCTGCTTTCAAAAAGGTATAACAATTCTATATATTTATGTGGGAAACCAAAGAATTTAGGAATTCTAGTCAGTAACAATCCTAGCGTTTCCAAAAAGACGTAAACGAACATATATCACTATATCATGGGAAATTCATATATTCCTCTTACATTCCGGGTCTTTAATTTTACTAATATGAATTAAACTTTCCTAATTCGATTTCTCACGTACGTGCGTATATGGAAATCGTTATAACTAGGTTAAACTGTTATTGTTTTTCCAGATGAATAATTTGATTAAACAACTTTTTCCGTGTAATTGGAGTGTAAATAATAGAAGTAATTCCTCCAAGCTTTCTAATAAATTTTTTTGCTAATCCATTCACTTCATTACTCGGAAATACTATAAAAATTATAACTAATCTATTACTATCCATATCTAATGTTCTTAACTTTAATGCTGCTTTCATGACCTCTTCTTCATTATCTTCATAAAGACCAATGAATGCTATGTCATAAGCAGGTTGATTATACAGTTCTTTATATGCTTGGGCAGCTTTAATACCTTCGTTAAAAGTATCGAATGCATCAACTTTTTCGACAATTTTAAAATATGTTAACATTGCGTTTCTCATATTTTTGATTGGGTGAATTATTAGTAATCGTTTTTTACTTATAAAATTAGGTAATATACAGTTTATTTGACTATCAAATTGTGCCTCTAATAATGAAGGAGTTGGAAATTTTGAAATAGTCGGTGTTATCGACGATGAAATAGTTGGTGTTATAGATGATAATATTTCCACGTTCCATGTAAACCAAAATTTACTTCCTTCTCCTAACTGGCTTTCTGCTTTAATTTCTCCTCCATTAATTTCTACTAGACTTTTACAAATTGAGAGACCAAGTCCTGCACCATCTTGTTTCCTGGTTATTGACATATCACCCCGTGAAAAACTTT